CCTCACTCATCTCTCTCTCTCCTTCCCCCTCCCTCACTCCCTCTCTCTCCATCCGCGGTAAGATGTGGAATGTATGATAGAGAATAAAGCTTAGCGGATGTTGTTTTCTGTTTACTGCTACCCCCCTCTTCTTCTTCCTCTCTCTCTCTCTCTCTCTATCTATATATCTATCTATCTCCTCTCTCTTAATCTTATCCTCTTGTTCTTCCTCCTCCCCTCCTCTCTCTCTCTCTATCTTCCTTTCTAACCTTCCCTCGCCCCCAACCCAGAAGCCAGCACGACAACAGAAAGACCAGCGGATGATACAAAGTAGCAGAGGGTATGGCCATCCAAGTAGCGAGTGATATCAGGAATACACGGTATTACGTCCAGAGAGACTCTTTCTTCGGTGGATCCTGCGCCACATTGCTGGATGAACCGAAGCTCATGAACTGTGGCACCCCCGCGAGGCCACCATTGAAGAGGAACGACTTCTCGTCTGCTTCCATTGCGTGGCTGGTCAACCCGGCCGCCTCCTGCTGCATCTGGATGCAAAGGATCTCCGCCTGCGCCACGGCCAGCTGCATCTGCAACTGGGTGACCTGGTTCTGAAGGTAGGAGATGGCTCCCACGCAGCCGTAGACCGGGTCTCTCATCCTCGCGTTCGCCTCGTATACGAGGCTGCTGACCGCGTCCGCCCGCTGCTGAAATGGGAGCTCCTGACGGCGGAAGACGAAATATGAGGATGGAGTATGAAATACAAGGGCGTGTCTCGTCCTGCTTAATGAAGTGAAGTAGGTTTTCTGGTGGGTACAACCTCTGTACCGGTGAACAGTTTCCGATGGGAGGAAATCACTGCAGAGAGAAATGGAGCGAAGAGGAAGAAGAAGAGGAGAGAGAGAGAGAGACCTGGAGCATCTTGCTAACGTTGCTGGCGCCGAAGACCTTGTGAACGATGGCGAACTTGTGGGGCTCGTCAGAAGGGAAGAAGGGAGAGAAGATGCAGTCTTTGGCGCAGCGCCGGCGGAGGAGCTTGCAGGAGGCACAGGGGGAGTTCCCACCCATGCCTGACGAAAAAATCCGCGCTGAAACTGTCGAAGAGGGAGATAATTTACGAGAGAGAGAGAGAGAGAGAGAGAGAGAGGGAGGGTTTAAGCTGCTGCTGCTGCTGCTGCTGCTGCCGCTCGAGGTAAGACGAAGAAAGCCGAGCTTATTTATAACGGAGGAGCCCGCAAGGGATCCATCAGCCGTGTAATCAAATAAGAGGCGACAGTGACATGAAGGCCATCTCTCCACACTACCTTGTGATGATAATGCGAGTAGGAGATTAAAACTAACAGTATCTTCCTATAGGTTCATATGTTGCCACTTATTCTAGTATATATTTAATCACGATATTTAAATCGTCAATTTTTATGTGTTGCTGTTCTAGCACTACCCTGAACTAAACATTAAACGGCAATAAATACAATATGCCCTTCCATACGCTTATATTGACTTATGATCATCACCATCATTAATGTATGAGTAGTCTAACAAGATGGTCAACTAAAAACTCCTTGACGACAAATGGAGTAGACCCATCAACATTATAACTTCAGTTATCAATGCTAACTTTTTGGGAATATTTGAGTGTAATTCTACTCACGAGAAATTCTCAAGTTTAACATTATACCGAAGTTGTTAGATCATCAAATTCAAGTCATTATAATGATTGTAATAGATATATTGACGAAATCGTAGGGTTTTGTTTTGATCTCTTGCTACGATACTGCTATGGCATTCATTTATCTGCATACTGATTTTCTACGATTCCAAAGGCTCATTCGGATTACCGAGCAAACTCGGACCAAATTTATCACCGAGTGGTGGCTGGAGGCTAAGAAAGAAAAGAAGAACAAGCAAAAGCAATATATGCGTATTCATGTCTTGGAAGATTCCCTTAGGGGAGACCGACTCTCCACTCTCAACTTTGCTGTAATACCCTTGGAGAAAGCACATGAATTTAGGACCTTACAGGTACAAGCACTCCATTCTGCAGATTGAGCCCCCTTTCCGTCATTTTAGCGAAAAACAGGCAAGCTCGGGGATCGATCAACTATTGGAAGATTCTCAGTAAATGAACAGAAATTGATCTTGCGAACGAACGAAAACGACTGGGTCAATCTGAATTTTACGAAGGTTCACAGATCTGCGATAAAAGAGCAACAACTGAGAGGACTCCTCAATCGAAGAGGTCAAACAGGCTTCTTGAACGGCTGAATATGATCCCATAGTCAACGCGGGATGCAGCTCTGACAGGCCACATATCCTCAGATTTTCTTTATTGATCTTGATCTTGAATGGCCAACCACCGCTCCCATTTTTGAAAAATATTATGACTGCGACTGTGATTATCTTCTCTCTGGAGTACTGTCACGTGGAGGGAAGGCCCGCGGAGGATGGGACGAAGGTCGCAGTGGTTGCTACGAGCTCAGGCGATGGGGTGAACGAGAGGAGACGCGGGGCTATGATTAGGGTTTTGGGCATCACGTTGTCGTTTGAGAGCCCTCCTCTCCGTTCGTGTCGCGTGAGGATACAGAAAACGAATCCGAAACGGAAAACGAGATCCGGGTCATTAATTCTGGAGGGCGCTTGGGAACGACGCAAAACCCTAACCCTAGGCGGTCGCCGGAGAACAAAAACAAGAGGCGTACCCTTTCTTGCTCTCTGTCTGTCTCCGGTAGAGAGGGAGAGAGAGAGAGCAGCTCGACGTGAATGTTTGTGACAGACATTCACGTGAACACTACTCTTGACTCTAGTCTCCGCACAACTCAAGTTTTTCTCTGGGGACGAGTCTTGAACAGGAAGCAGTATCGTTACGGCCTCTCTCTCTCTCCTCTCTCGCTCGCTGTGCGAAATTTGTCTCATGCACAGCAGAAACTTCTTAAACTCGAAGAATAGTTTTCACTCTAAAACAACAAGGGATATCTTACTCTCTCCCTCTCTCTCTCTCTCTTCATTCATTCATAGATATAATATCCTTAAATTTGTCGCATGCAGCGTAGAAACTCGAAGAACAGATTCCGTGAAGAACATCCATTTAAAAAAGAGAGAGAGAAAATCCGTAAAGACTCCATCAAAGCCAAGATGATTCAAAGGCAAGTAAAGCCATGCAGACTCATCTCTCTGTTCTGAAACCTCTGCGGCATCTTCAGTAAACTTTACGCCGAGCTCGGCTTCCTCCCCTCTACGGACGGATTCCATCCTCCTGCCGCCGCCGGTTTTATCGAGACGATGACGCAGAGGAAGTAGAAGAAAGATACGTGGAAGATGCTAAGCATACACCAGAGTCTAATCAATGATGCCGAGAGATCATATAATATAAGCCAATGGGAGGCCCCATTAATGAGATCCGACACGATATTAAGGGCCTAGAGATTATAAACAACGCAAGCGTCTCCGAGGGCGAGCTCAGAGCTCTCCGGTTTCCCACCCCACCCCTCGTCTGCCCTCCTCCCATTTAATGCCCTTCACATGCCCTAACTCTCTCCTCCATCCTGCTCCTCTCCACCTTCTGAATGCACCCATGAGGGAGAAATTAGAGATATATATATATATATATCTATAGAGAGAGAGAGAGAGAGGACGGGTCGTTGAAGCCTCGTCTTCCCCCTAGCTAGTGAGGACGCGATGGTCTTGAGTTTGAATAAAGTACGACTGGTAGCAGACATCTTTCTCTTCTTGAAGAGAGAAGGGGAGAGAGGGGAACATGGAGGCGCCTATACAGCATTGAATGCATGATTGGACGAAGATTCCTCTTTGCAAGAACGATCAAGCGTCAGTGGTCTCCAGGGCATCGTCTACAAGATCTAAACTCCAGCTCGGCTCTCTAGAGAACACCAAAAATTGGATTTTTATGAGCCATATAAGCGCCACCTGACCATCTACTTCCGCATTCCTGGAGAGAGGGGAAAATATCCCACACTTCGTTAACGGTTCAGTCAATCCCAGACTCACCACACTCTTCAAGTCTCCTCTTCTATCTCCATCAAGTTTCTCCCAAATCATTTTCTAGTAGCTTATTCGATACACTAATCAAGCTCGTACAGCAAGTTTGCTTTTTCTCTGTACCAACTAATATTTCAAGCCCTGTAGCATAGAAAGCCACTGAAAACTACCGGATTCACAAATCCTCGCTAGTATGGCCGAGGACGCTGTGACAGGCTACAAAGCCCTCGTTGAGGATTTAAATCGAAACTTATAAGAAGTTCACGAGCTTGAGAAGTTAAGGAGCTCAAGATTCTGAATTTCATGCCGCAGACGGTTATAAAAAACCATATTTTTATCGTGCTTTTGTACCCTTGAGTCTCAATGTGGTAATTGCCAAGATTTCCTCCTAAAATGGCCCGTTTCTCTAGACTTCCCCTTTCCCTTTTGGAGGTCATACCACCACAAAACATGAAGCTCTGATAATTTTGAACTATGCTATTGGTACGTCTTTCCCTCCAGAACGACGGGTTTCCCATTCCATAGCGACAAGCGCCTCTCACTCTAGCTACGGACGGGAAGAGAGACAACGGCAGCGGGCTCTCGGCCCCGCCAACTACGCCGGCCAGATTGAAGTAGGTTCCTGGGGAGGAGTCTTCTGCGGGCAACAGCATGATATCCTCAAGCCCGGATATCCTGTGGCCCGCTGTTAACCTTGGGTACTAGGCTGGGAGGGTTTGAAGTAGATCAAGGGCAAAATGACCGTTGGTGCAGGATAATCTGAGGGCCGACGCTCTACACTTTATCCGTAAATTACTTTTTTTCAATGAATCAAGGGTACGTTCATGTCACTGCCCAGCCCAAATTCCCAGGTTTCGGTCTCGAGATTGAAACACCCGAGTGTTGCCTAAACCCAAGGATTCGATAAATAAGGAAAAGCCGATTCTTTTATATATTTTGATTGATACGATCATAGTGATCATAAAGATTGGTAAAAGGATGATCTTGGTCCGACATGGTTTGCTATGTTTAACTAGGAACCACATTTTTCG